TTTTTTTTTTTTTTTTTTTTTTTTTTTTTTTTTTTTTTTTTTTTTTTTTTTTTTTTTTTGTTACAGAGAATATCCATGGTACTCCATTTCGGCAGTTAATTGTCATTCTGGAAGCTTGTTACAGTCTCCAGTACCGCAACGTAAAACTGTTCTCGGCATTAGCAGACTATGTTAATTCTACTGCCTGCCTTTGGGAGAAAAGACAGGTGAATTTGAACCCAAATAATTTATAGTGGTACTAGTAGAATATCTGGTGCTTTCCATCTCACCTTTCTTCATATTTGTGTTTGATCTTTGGAGAACAGATTTTGGAGAACAGTTAAATGTTTAAAATGTTTTATTTACTGCTGAGTAAAGAAGTAAGAAATAAAAGGGGTGTCACAGTTTGAAAAATTTGCTTTCATTACAGGTGCCTTTCATGAATTAACAGGTAGGATCCACTTCACTGGCTTTCTTGACCTTATAAAACTATCTTTTCTTTTAGATTATCCTCTTTCTTTCTGCCTTCGAGACACTTGGCTTTCAGCCTAGTGAGCTGATGGATATTTTTGCCAAGAAGGTGACAGAAGACCCTGAATTCCTTAACTTGAAAAACCTTTTGATTGTTCTCCGAGTGTATTCACGACTCAACTATGTTCCCAAAGACCAGAAGCACCTGTAGGTTTGCATTTAGAATGCCTAGTAATATGTTATAGAGTCATTATAGAGTTATGTATGGTACGTAGTATTTGATTTCAGTTGCAAAAGCATCCATAATCTTGTTTTATTAATCTGTAAGGTAAATTTACTGTGTCTTTTCACACTTTTTCTACATAAGCATTTTTCTCTGGAAAATGGAGACCTTGGTTCTAGACTGACCAACAATCTGTTGATAGGTAGCTGTATCCTCAAAGAAGAATCAAAAGCTAATGTTAGATTGCACAACATATAATTCTGTCAGATAATGAAGATTTCTAACTTGTATTTTTGTTTGAAATCTGTATTTTATATAGCCTTTTTTGTGTATTAAGATACTTCTCTTCTGCTTTTGGAAAAGGTTTTTTGAGACTCTTCATAGCTGCTTGAATAAGTACCTCCCTCAGATTCCCAACACAGAACTTTTGAGGGCAGTGTATTCACTTTGCATCTTAGGATATCTTCCTCATCGTGCAATTGATGAGCTGCTGCAAAAGGACAGCAGGGATGAACTGTCAGGTCAGGCCTTACTTTGTTATGTTATTGTTTGAAAAGGGATAGTCTGCCTCTGTACATAATTTGTTCTAATTGTGTTAAAAGTTTAGAAATGAAAGAATGCAGACGTGATTAAATATTAAATTATAAGTCCTCAAGACAAAGCTAACATAGTGATGGTGATCTAAGTGATCTGTTTCTGCACTAGGGCATCAGGCTTATTGTCTTGGGCCCCACAGTGGCAACAGCTTAATGGTAGGTGTGCACCTGGAGAGAGGTGACTATGAGATTTGTGGAAATGTTAGAAATGTGTAAGAGCCAGGGGTTCTAGGTTCAACAGATGTTCAGGCATTTTTAAAAACACACGAAGTCTTAACCTTTGTAGACCAACTTTAGTTGCTGGAATCATGAGTAAAAGTGGGGGGTTTTGGCTGCTTTGAGTTATAATGAATTTGGAATGCATTGTAATACAATTTGGTTATCACATTACAGTTCTCTACAGCCAGTAGAGTAGTTCAGTGGAGTAGAAATTCAATGTAGAGTAAAACAGTGTGTCTTGTTGCACCTGCTGTGACTGAACCTGAAAGCTGCAAAGCTGTAACTGCTTAGCGCTTGCACAGCTTAGTACTCTTAAGGTATAGTTTTAAAATCACAGCCAAATCTGATATCCCTCTTTGTTTTATAAATAGCCTTCTATTTGTCTGGATTTTATAAATGGTTTTTATGCATGCTCTCTAATTCCGTGTTCTCCTAAGTCTCCTGTAATAACTCACAGCATGCATAGATCTGTGTACAGTAGAGGGGTAAGACTGGATAAATGGGCAGGTCCCTGTTGTAGACTTTAATATTATAATTAGTGAATTGATGGTGTATATTTAACAATATGCTGAAGATACTCAATAATGCTCAGTGAAAAAACAATTTGGTTTTGATTCCTATATTGAATTTAATTTGCTCTGACAGAACAGACTATAAATAATAATAAATGAAAAATTCTGTGACATGATACATTGGATGTAATATTTTTGGTATCCTTTTTCAGATGATCTTCACGATGAACAGAAGGAGATAATGCTTCAGTGTGTGAAAGCATGTATGGAACTTGATAGCCCTTCCTTCACGAAGCCTGCATTTGTGCTGACTGAGAGTTTCTCCTCACTAGTATCTCCTACTCTCAAAAAGGCTCAGGAGGCACTGATAGAACTTCTGGGAGATGAGAACATGTTTCAGCAAAATGTTCAGCTGCCACATAAATATCATATTGGTATGAAGCCAAGTTACTATCATATTCTTTTAAATGTAGATTTATAATCCACAAAATAATAAGGTCTTAATAACTCTGCATAGGGTGCAAGGGATTAAAAGTGTAACACTTTGAAGACACAGTATTTTAACAAAATATGTACTTGATTGGTGAATGTACTTTCTAGGATTCTTTTATTAAAGTATTTAAGTTAATTTACTAAAACTTTGATAGCTCTTAATTTCAAAATTGCTTTGGACTTTTTGTTAAGCATCAATGAGCAGATGTACATAAATCCAACGTGGCAACCTGTTTTAGAGTTGACATGTTAGTACTATATCACATTAGAAACAAAGCCAAACAGCTGCCTTTTGTTCTCTGGCCTGTTCCTTCTCTGAAGTTTTCACTAAAGTTTGGGTTTCATAACATTTGGGTTCTTTTATATTTTGATGTTGCTTATTTTTTCACCAGCCTCCCAGCTTACCGGTTTTTCTGTATTTCAAATAATTTTTTTCCTAAATATTTCTAATGAGAAGTCAGATTACAGAAAAATCTAAGTAGGTATGACAGACTGGATCAAGACTAGTTTCTTTAAACTATGATTTCACTCCCATAAAGTTATATCTTCAGTTTCCAAAAACAAATGTGGGTTTTTTTTCCAGAGATGTGGAAGCTATAGCTGTTTATATTGCTTGCAGGGAGGGAAAAACTGTCAGTAATATCTAAATTACTTGAGAACAACAATTAGAAACAGAGCAGTGATGGTGTCTGTTACCTTTTTCAAATGAGCTGTTCATTTGAAAACAATTTGAACTATTAATGTTCAAATGGGAACATTAATTGCAACATCTTGCAGTGTTAAATGTCTTGTTTTATTTTCAGATTTTGAAATCAGAATGGATTCAGACAGAAAGAAAGTGCTCCCAATAGCTGCAGCAGATGATCCTGCTGACTCAAGTGTTCAAAGGTGTGGTTTTTGACTGCGTAATTTTTCTAGTAGGCTAGTTTTATTTGTATTTATTTGTCCATCCAGTCACTTCTTTGGTTCACTGATTTGCAGAAGCGAAGTAGATAACTTGTTATTTGTGCTCACAGAAATATAGGAAAATTGACATGCCAGTTCAGAACAACAATTTATCCAGCTAAAACTTAACATTTCAGAGAAGGAGACAGGAAACATCACAGTAATCTGATACTCTTATAATGGGTACCGGTTTTGAAGTACTACTAAAATCCCTTCCAAAAAGTTGCTACATTACGGCTTTAAAATTTTAAGTATTTGTGTGTTCAATTAAACAATCAGTTATTCTCTTAAGTCTCTAAAGTGTGCATCTCAATGATATGTTATAGCAATTAATTCAGCTGCTGAAATATAATTTGAATAAAAAGGATCATCATATCCACATTTTAGGTGATTGATTTAATCTTGTGTAGAAGAATGACCTCTCAGTAACTGAAGTGGGACATATATCATTTAAGTAACACTTAACTAGAATTGGGTAATAACATTTGTGTGCTGGATCACTGCACAGCAATGTATTTTGTATCGTTTGCTTTTTTGGGAAAAGGAGAACTAGTGAATTGTGTAACAGAAACTCACTGTTAGGCTTCCAAGACATTCAGCTTTCCTCACCCTTCCAAGTAGGTTTTTATGGAAGGAAGTAACTTACTCTGAATATTAGCAAAGGATCAAAGTAAATACAGAAGCTGTCAAAATAATGTGGAATTTTGAATGATCTGTTTCCTTTTCATTGTGGGAGAATTGGACCTAATTCTGCTGTAGGTATTTGGGTAGATGCTGGTACTCGTGTGAAGCTCATGGAAGAAGAGAGGGTCTAAATTAAGTCTGGAGAAGGAAAAGGATAATGAAATCTGTGCAGTCCTGATATTTTTGCTTACCATAAAGCTGTATATTCTGCAGTACTAAAGGAAATCATTGAATCATTGTCTTAAAAATGCTTATTCTGCATTTATACAATGGAGTCTTCCCTACTCTTCTTGCTTGTAGATTGGCTTTTCTCTTTGTTCCTCTCTCTGCCTTCTGTGTGGGTACAATGCACCCCCAAGGGAAGTTGGCAGTGAAGAAGCGGCATCTAAATAAACTGGGCTATCATGTGATTCTGGTAAGAAGAGTCCGGTTATTCTCTGTTTTGGTCCTGGTGATGAGTGTGTTTGTTCGGTAGAACAGGCCTTGTACCAAATGGTGAGCCGGTGAGCCTTCTCCAGAGTGGTATTTGTGTATCATCTCTACTTAGAAGGTAGTGGTGGTGTCACTAGGGAGAAAGGGCAGAGGAACTCTAAAACACAAGCTACCACTTAACATTATCAGTGAAATAAATATAATCGTAGTTCAGGAAAAAAAAAGTGCCACTGAATTGCTTTGTACCTAAAAAACCTACATGACTTTGGCTTATTTCCCCTGGTTTTATAGAACGAGTGATTCAAGTCAGCTTCAAAATACACTGACTCCCTGTGGCCTTCCCATCAGTGAGCACTTGGTTTGTGGTACAGGGTAATTTGCTAAAGACAATAGAACTAATGTGCCCTCTCCTTTTCCTTTCTTCCAGGTCCTGAACAAGAAGTTTCAGGAAATGACAAATGAAGATGCGGTTCAGTTTTTGAGAGGAAAGATTTATTCAGAAAATGCTTTATCTTTTTCGGAAGTGACTGTGCAGGATAATAATTAAAATAAACTAACAGTTTGGGGTCTCCTGATCTCTCTTGTGTAATTAATGTAAGGAAGAGATAAGCAGTTTTATACACAACTGCCTACTCCAAAGTATTGCAGATTGAGGAAAGTTTGTAAAGTGAACAACGTCTGCTGATAGTGGGGGTTTTCTTCTGTGCAGTGGGAGTGGGTTTTCATTAGTGGAAGGAACTGCTTAATCCAAAAAGCATCCTGACATTTAATGCTGTTGAAATTTCTTTATCTTTTCTTTGCTTCCCCTCACCCATACCCCAAGTCAAATTTCTCTCTTGAGCAGGGTCAGGGAAAGGAAGCGACTGCTTCAAGTGCTGTTGGAACCTGGCCTACAAATACGCATCAGCAGGATTTCCCCCACCATTCCCTGTGTTCTTTGTACAGAACTATAGGTGGTAAAGCAGTAACTCAGGAACTCAGCCTAAGGTGTATATTAAAAAAATCCAAAGTTATAGGAAAAGTTTCTGAAGAAATCAGTCTTGTCCAGTTTCCAAAGTTCAGGCCAATAATGGTTGTATGCTTTGGCTTTTGAACATTTTGTTTCACTGCTACTGTAATAGATTTTGAGACTTCTTGCTACAAGAACACAGGTCTGCCATGTGTTTATAAACTGACTCTTGCTCTCTGTTCCTGATGTTAGTGGCTCCTTAAAGAGGTGTTGCAATACTCAGATTTGTTCATTACATGCTGTGATGCATCTCCGCTGGCTTGTTATGTAGTGGTGTAATTGATTATGTTGGCAGAGTCCTAGAAGTTCAGAGCAGCTTTGGCCTTTGAGCTGAAGGAGCAGAAAGAACTGGTACATCTTTAACGTTCATGGTACCATTTAGAGGTAAAATCCATTTGTTGTGCTGCAGTTGCTGAAGTACTGAGTAAGAGCATTGGAATGTTCAAAATACATTTGCCAGCAACCGCTTGCTTGTTTCTGCGGTGTAATCAGATCTTCAGCGACAGTTTTGCTGTACCATAGCCACAGCCCAACCGGGATGAAGGGACACACTGATACTTTCTACAGTGACTGCGTGCTACCTAACGGGGGTGCCCTTGCTTCACTTCGTAAGCTACAAGCACTATGTTCTTTGTCTTTCTGAAGTAGCGTGGTCGCATGGTTAAGGTATTACAGTGATGAGATTAAAAAAGGTATTACAGTCATGGGAGGTGAAAAGAAACAATATGCTTGAAAAAAATGCCCTGCCCAACTTCTTGCAGAACATACAGATAGAATATGGTGCACATTTACGAAGAACGCTGTGCAACCAAAGAAGCATTGCCACAGCAGTCTAGCATGAAAAGCAGAGAGTTGTTCAGCGTTTCAGTCTGAAATGCAGCAAAACAGATTTGATGCAATTGCAAAACTTAACAACCAGAGCAGAGGCTTGTGTCCCCTTTTTTGATCTGCTACTTTAAGAAAGCATTTTCTGTACAAATTTATCCATGAAGCAGACTGCTCAGAGCCATTCAGATATTCTGAGCTGGCTGGCTGACTGCTGGTTCTGGCCTGCACTGGACAAGGTCTGAAGTGCTCTGTGCTAGAGAGCTGGGTTGGTGCTGGGTTTGGTGCTGTTCAAACCTGAAGCCTTGCAAACCAAGCTAATGTAGCATCAGCTGTGGCTCTCACTTGGGCTGGGGAACTTTTTCCTCTGCTTCCAGATTTTCAGTTGGGTCATCAGCAGCAGGTATGTAGGTCCCGTCTCTTCAGGGACAAAATGCCAGGCAGGGAAGTGTACTGTCTTCTTGGGTGCCAGCAGCTCGGACAGAATTAGCCACCAGTGGGCACAAGATGGCATAGCACATTACATTAAATTAGCTTATCACCATCTTTTTTTAAGCACATTATGAGTAGGTGGAAACTTACACAAGCGGTATGGAAGTGTAGTAGTCTGCCATAATGATCACCTTGCTTATTAAAATGTCTTGCTTTATGCTACCTTAATAATTTAAGTCGTTACTATGTCACCTACACTGATTCATAGTTCCAAGCAGTAGGTAGCTGCTGCCAGAGAGACTTCAGAGCTGGGGGTTTCTTGAATCTTTACATCTGCTCAAAAGCCGTTCTGTGGCAATGTCTGAAATAACTTTAGGTTTCTCAGGTATCCAGTTCGTGTAGTAAGGGAGATCTAATCCTCTGTTTTGTGCATTACAATCTGTGTTTAGAATACCATTCTCCTCTGTTCTGAATCATGCTGATTAAAATTAGTGGGAGACTCACAATGAAGATCAACAATAATTATTTTGCACCTGTAATTGCAGGTTTTGTCCCTGCATGGATTGCTAAATGCGAAAGGTGCAAAATCCCCTTTTTTAAGCCAAACCGATACTAACAGATGTTTTTAGCCAGCTTGCTAGTGAGGCTAACAGGAGATGCAAGCTGCACCTTCCTCTACCATTTTCACAGTCTGCCTGCAGACTCAGGAACCTGTGTTTCTACCCTTTATTCACACTTGGAACACTTTGTAAGTGCAGTGGCTGGGAATTTTTTTCTGAGCAAGGAGTGAGAAACCAGGAAGCTGAATATGGCTTTATTTCATATAGACCATGGCTGTGTCTTAATGGATGGAACCCAGACATTTGCCGTGGTGTTTGACTCACTGAAGGTATTTCAAGGGTGTATCCAATCTGTAGCAAGGCCAAGGTTCTTAACCCCACATAAAGTGAAAATAGGTAATTTATTAAGTAAACTAAATTGCTGAGGGAGGGGAGGATCTTCAATGAATTGAAGGCTTGTTAAAGAAGATACAGCAAGTATAGGGCTTGGAGTAATTATGTAGCTATGACTTAAAGACAGCGGACTCAGCTGCACAGAGCAACCATATATTCAAATAGATTCTTGTATGAAGGCAGCATATTTTATTCCTGGGCCACAAAGAGGTCTGAAAAGTAGAGCCATACAAATCTTCCCTTCATTCTCAGCTAGGAAATACTTGACTTAAATATTTGTCCTGCTAATCTCAAAGAAACAGATACTGCCTTTTATGATTCCTGGTTTTTACATGCTGCTTCCTGTTAAGACATCTTTTCGATTCATAAATCTTATCTTATTACAAAACAGTAAAATGCCACGATAAAGCTGCCTTATCTGGTAAATTTTTCCTTGAGAATAACGCATATAATATTCATCCTTTAAATTCTCCAGGTCATCTGAAGGATATCCGCATTCAAAAGGGTGACAAGCTCAGATCATTGTCATGTATCACACAGTCAGTAAAGCATTGTGAGAAAGATTTATAAATATAATTTATTTAGCAAACTTCACTGGCCCAAGGATGATGTTAAGCATTGCAGGATGTGTGAACAGATCTAAAATGAGAGCAAGAAACAGGACGGCAGAAGATGTGGGCTGCAAGGGTGAAGAAGGCCCTTGTGTGAACAAAAAATAAACTCGTACCATCTGAACAAAAATTAAACAAAGTTTGTGAAGTAATGCAGAATGAGAAGAGTGAGTGTTTGGAAAAAAAATAATTTCCATAAACAGCTGGATTTGAAGACCCCGATGACCTGTAGCTCTCTCCTGCTTTGATTTGCTTATGTGTAAAACCACTTTTGAGCCCTAAGTCCAGGCTTCCAGGGGATGAAATATTCCAGCCACTCATTCACAAGAAACATCCATGAACTCTCTTTAAAACTTCCACCTTATTCTCAGATTGGCCAAGACATTCAAAAGTGACTGGGAAAGAGGGACTAAAAGTGCACTGTAAGAATGTGATTTTTGTTAAGAAATCAGAATCTAAATAAACTGGAGCTTGGAAATAGAGAATGAAAGACTGTTTCTCAGGTATTGCAACTATTTCTGCATAGCCAAGAGGTTGCATAACGCAGAAACCTAGAGATGTGGTTCTGATCAATTGCTGAAGTGAAGAAAATACTAAGACTTCCCTCTAATGCTTTTTTTTTTTTTTTTTTCCCCTGGCCATTGCAGTAGGTATTATTTTATATTGCCATTTGTTAATGTTAAGCTATTCTCTTTGCACTCAAATCTCAGAGCACATAAGCTTGCATGAATGAGGTTCCAGTTTCAATACCTCTTTACTGACACTAGAATACCTGAATTAAAAAAGAATTACAGGCGTTTTGTGGATCTCAATAAAGGTGAGTATTCTCTCCTAGGCAAAATGTGCTGGAATTAGTTATTTCAGAACAAAAGCAGAACCATGGTTATCTGTTGTTCTCTACATGCATACTTTTAAAGCAATTATGCTACTTAAGCATAGGTTTGACTGAACATATAATCCTGTGGTTTTATTCTTTTCTAGTAACCATAATGGTTTTAGTAGTTTTGCATTGTTCTTCTCTTTTAAGTGATGCAAATATAATGGAAATCCAAACTACATTTAAGATCTGTCCTTCTAGTTGTAGCAGGTTTTTTCCCTTTTTTTCATTATGTCTGGACAACCACAATATGAAGTCAAATGTGGGGGCAACTGTAAACAGCCACCCAGGAACAAGAAAAAGGGGAATCTGTCTTTGGGTCTGCAGCAAAGGTCCTTGTGTCCACAGATAACCAGTGAGCTCTTTGTCTCATCCTCTTCCCTCTCTCCGAAAATGCTCCTGTGCTATACTCCAGTAACATTGTTGCCATGGCACCCATCAAAGCCCAGATAGGCTCTTGCTTTATGTAGCAAGATGCAAATTTTTATAAACAGGAGGATTTCTTTTCACTGCTATAGGTGAGGGGCTCTATCCATGCCTCCAGACAGAGGCAATTTACTGAACACTCTGGCATTCCTGAGTATGTGCCATAGTTTACTCTTTATCAGTGTAATCCCCAAAAGGCACTTGCTAAATTTTCTGTGCCTGTTTGATTTTTATGGCACAGATTCTGCTGCACATAAGCTGTCATGTGTACTCGACCACCCTTTAGAAAGGTGGGGAAGTGTGTGGGGAGTGTGGAAAAAGGGGGAGTGGCTCATCAGCTGGTTTAAATTAAAGCCAGAGTATTACAGCAATATACACCAGCTGAGGCTGTGGCTCGACAACTTCAAAGAAGAAAACTTGAACTGTTATGTGAGCCCATTTTTCTCCTTCTGCAGTAGGGAACAGCTGGTGAATCTGACTCTTGACTGCACAGAGGCTGGTGTAGATGGTGAGAATTGTCACCGAACTCCTGATGTGTACTGACACAGATGAGACAATATTCAGGAAATACACAGTGGCTTGTGGAGGAGATTATATATTTGTATGTTAAGATGTTATTGCACATGATAGCTAGGGAGAGAGGAGAGACCAAGCATGGAGCCCATTATCTGAAATGTCAGTCACATAATAAAAGACTTCTTAATCTTTTAAAATACACATATTGAAGCCCAATACTGGGTTGTTAATTGCCCTTTGTGCTGGCTTAGCAGTTAGGTATCAGCTTCAGCAGAACAACAGACGGTTCCTTGACACAGGGAATTCTCCAGAAAATACAAAGGCAACCTAAATCCCTTGTACACTGTGGTGTATGAGGCAAGAAGAGGGCAAAGACTGCTGATGGTTTAAAATATGCTTCATTTTGCCGATGAATGGCTTGTCCCAGGGACATATCATCTTCTAAATGAATCTTCAGTTGGGGTCACTTCTGTATAAATGTAAGGAAAACAATGGAGATCTGAAAAGTTAAGCATGCAAAACAATACATGTGTGCACCTGTGTTTAAAGATTTGCTCTGTTATCAGTCTATGCTCAAGGAACAGTACAAAATGGTGAATGCTTCACTGATGTCAGCAGGACAACTTCCTTCTCAGTAGACAGTACTCCCCCCAAAAGGTAGTACTGAGGAAGACGAAGGTTGATTTGATTTCTGCTGATGCAGAATAAAAAGAGAATTTTCCAAACTTTCCGCTGCTGGTGGTATGTTTGATACTCACTTGCTGAATCTAATAACTCAGTATTTGAAGGGGGGAAAAAAAGAGAATGACAATGACAGTATAAAAACCATTCTCTCAGAACAAAGGGGAAGATGATCTCACATTAAGGCATTAGACAGAGACATGGGGCATCTGAGTTCAGCTCCCTGCTTGCCACCACTTATCTGTCTGCTCATGGGCAAGTCACTCAGGAGTCAAATTGCTTGGATTTGTAAGCTCTTCCAAGCAGAGTTGGTTGATATTTCCAGATCTGCTCCTTGTATGAAGAGTAGTAAC